CACTGGTGGAACTCCTGATGGCAGCTGGTATTTTTGGCCACTGTGTGACTGGATGGGCCACTGGCCTGGATGGGCCATTGGCTTCTCTTATGTTCTTATGTACCAATATTTTTCAGGTTCAATATATTCAGGAAAATACCTTTTTTTACACCCCTATGCAGAACTTGAGGCATCAGGAACTGCTGCACCATGATAGAGAAGTGAATCTGTGCTGCTTAGAATTCCTTCCGAGTGACTGCAGTTCACAGATACTGGCAGTGCAAACAAAAATTTATTGATGTAAACAATGGTTGAAATTTTCCACCCTGTTAGACCAACGAAGTTGGACATGAAGTCATATAAAAAGCAGATAATTGGATTTCCCTGGTCCGGCCTGAATGGCTTAAAACTGGAGTCTTGTTTCTACACTGCTGTTCAACTGCCAGCTGAGAGACTTCCATTCAGATCTCCAAGGGGAATGTAATGATGGTCTCCCACACAAAATAATATTTTGACTTTCATTTCAAGAGCCAAGACAGGCCTGGCCCAGGTCCATACAGAGCCCAAGGTCTGTGTAAACAGAACTGACTAGCAAAAACCTCACGTTAGCAACGCCAACAGTGGTCTTCATGAGATTCCTTGTCTAAAACGCTGAGGTGCCTGGGGCTATATAATAATAAGTGAATCCAGAAACATGCACACATTGATAGTTCCCCTGTAGCTTCATTACAGAAGGCAATTGGGGATGCTGAGATGTTTGATGTATTTTTTTTTAACCTAGTTAGAAAAATACAAACTAGTGGCAGTGTGCTGTGCAATTGTCAGCACTGTTGCTTGAAAGGTACGGCTGGCTATTTAGCTGCATAAAGATCTAGCAATTTGATGAGCCAATACAAAGTTCTGTTATTAGATGAAGACAATTTGCATTACAGTTTAGTACCAATTTCATGAAGGAATAATTCCATGTACACTGGTTGGGGGAATACTTGGAGATTTGGGAGGTGGAGCCTAGGGAGGGCAGAGTTTGGGGAGAGGAGGGACTTCAGCACAGCCCGATGCCATAGAGAGTCCACCCTCCAAAGCAGGTATTTTCTCCAGGGGAACTGATCTCTACTGCCTGGAGATTCCCAGGCCCCACCTGGAGGCTGGCAGCTCTCAATTTGAGACCTACTCCAAGTCCTTTCCAACATAGCATTAGAATGTGAGAAATTGCTGCTGCACATATTTGAAAAGGAAAACATGTCTCTCTACCATAGAACTTTCTCAAATAATAAAACATGTCTCAGGCCAGCTACATACTAGAGGAGGCCTGACTTTTGAGAAGATAAATTTTCACATTCTGTTCAAGTGTACCCTGTAATACTGTTTACATGTTACAGTGAACACTTATGCAACCTCCATCTATGTGCGTCCATCTGTTGGTAAGAGAGCGCCAATGAACATTTGTTTTACCAATGAAATTTAGGACTACTGTGGGGTTTAAATCACATGCTCAACTGAACATGTGTTGAATGTAACACGAGGACTACTCAAGGCACGTATAAATAAATACTCAAGTGAATGCTGTACTCAGATCTTACATGCATTCACTACAACTCATGAACAAAGTTTATGTCAGATTAAAATGGGGTTTCGTTCTGTTAACAGATTTTTTCATACCTTTTTACCAAGCTTTTGCTATTGTCCTTTTAATTTGAATTTCAAAAGTAAGACTACATGGGCAACTAAAGTGATGAGCGGCAATGGAAGGCAGGGCTTGTGTACTTTGAAGTATTAAATTATAACTACAGCAGAGGAACTTCTCTCACCTTACACAGCAATCTGCCTCTTCTACAAAGGTCTTAGAGATGTGGGCACCTGAATGCCTTCCGTGTTTCCAGTCAATGGTATTTATGATATTGGACATCTATGAGAATATCCTATGAATGTTTTGAAAATAAGAAATGTAGTCTGAACCAAGGGAAAGTTTCTGGATATCTAGAAATGGCCTGGATACCTCAAAGGCATAATTTTGGATGTAACACATGTGGACATGTGGGCGTTATTAACTGGAAAAATTTAGTTTATAGTAGGGGTGTGCAGGGAAAAAAATCATTTTCTGGATTCGGGTATAATAAAGCCAAAATTTTTCAGTATTTTCAAACATTTTCAGCTCCATTGTATATCCTATGGGGCCATTGTAGTCAATGGTAAAAATCTTCTAACAACTATTCAGGGGGCGGGGGGGAGGGGTTTGAGGTAGAGGCACCAAATTTGTACTCTAGCTGCTGGAGCCTCTCCCCAAAAGATCCCCGAAGTTTGAAAAAGATTGGACCAGGTGGTCCAATTCTAGGGGCATCCAAAGAGGGTGCCCCAAATCCTCCATTGTCTCCTATAGGGATGAGAAAAGGCAGGCAGCAGTATCTCACCGAGAAAGCTGAAGGAAACCCGGAAATTTTTAATCTCCCCCCCCCCCCCCCCCCCCCCCCCGGTATTTAGTATTCGGCAACTGAATCAGCTCAGGAGATCTGATTCAGTATGCCAAATACCTGAAAAATGCCAAAAAAGTTTTTCGGGTTTTTGTTTGGCTTTACCGAATGCACACCCCTAGTTTATAACATAGGTGGCAGAACTGAAAGAGTTTAGGCTCCTTTTCTCAATCTGTTTCAGCTTTTAAAAAAATTCTTGCAGGATGCAGCCTATTTCTCTTCAAGTGTTTGCTGGCCTCTAAATGACTGTGGACCACAAGAGCTTTTGGGCTCTTTTGGAATCTTGTAGAACGTTTGGGCACTTTTGGAATTGGGCCACCACAAAATGACTGCCATAGGGCCTAGGGCCAATCACAAAATAGCTGCCATGAGGGGCGAATCACAAAACATTTAAATTGGCAAGACAAGCATCTTCTTACGATAGAGGCTGCCCTTTCTGAATGTGTGTGTGCTCCCTGCAGATACAAAAGTTCTCCTGGGTTCTTTTGAAGCACCTCTTGCTCCACTGAACCAGAATAAACTATTTCCTTTGGGGGGAAAGAAGCAAACAAGCACTAGGAAACCCATCAGCAGGTGTCATGGCACTCCTGGGCATTATGAGGAGAACAGAACTCATTGATAAAAGCAATAGTACCTCCTGGTTAACAAGGTTGAGAGAAACCTATTTATTCTTTGAAATTACCACCACAGGTTTTCTAGCATCTCCTCAGCTGTCTGTTTACAGTTTACACCTGGCTATGCTTTTTGGCTTTGGCTCTGAGGAGATCCTGAGTTCTCCACAGGTCATATACATTGGTGGTTCACATATGTTGAAAGCATCCTGGCCTCATTTGCTTCTTGTGAGTCAGTTTGGTGTAGTGGGTAGGAGCATGGACTCTAATCCGGGAGAACTGGGTTTAATTCCCCACTCCTCCACATGCAGCTGCTGGTGTGACCTTGGGTCAGTCACAAGTTCTCTCAGAGCTGTTCTCTCAGCCCCACCTACCTCACAGGCAGTGTTCCCTCTAAGCTGAGTTAGTGTGAGCTAGCTTACAGTTTTTTAGCCTCCGGCTCACACATCTGTATCTTAGCTCAGGAAGGATGCTTCTAGGGCAAACTAATTTATGCAGTAGTCAAATCGCTCACTCACAACTTTAATGCCAGTAGCTCACAAAGTAGAATTTTTGCTCACAAGACTCCACAGCTTAGAGGGAGCATTGCTCACAGAGTGTCTGTTGTGGGGAGGGGAAGGGAAAGGAGATTGTAAGCTGCTCTGAGGCTCCTTCGGGTAGTGAAGGGTGGGGTAGAAATCCAATCTCTTCTTCCTGTGCACAACTGCTCCTTTCAAATGAAGGAAATCTCACAGCACTACATTATCCAGCTATGCTTCTACAGTAAGAGAATGGTGGATGGATGATTAACAAAAATCATGGATGATTAACCCTGATTGAGGTGAGGAGAACCTGCCAAGAGACTGCACTTAATATACTTAGCCAGAGGGGAGGCAAAAAAGTAACCTATTTCAATTCGTGTCCTGGGATTCTTGTGTACACCATCTAATTCCTACACAATAGAGTATGTTATTGAATAGAGTGTTGCAAACTTATACAGTCACCTCAGTGTTCCAGGCAACAACTTCTTGATTGGCAACTGCTAAAAGATTTAGCTTTGCTGCCTGTCAACTGTTTGGCTTTCAGCCAGTCAAGCATCTCCCCCACCACCTTGCTTAATTCAATTTGTTCATCTCTTGGAAGCCTGACAGCATTCCTCCCTCCTTCCTCCTGCTTCCTTTTCTTTCTCTTTGGTTTCCTGTCCTGGCCTCGTAGCCAAACTTATTTCCGTTGCTGACAATCAGTCTGTGGCCAAATCTCAAGGCAGAAGAGTACGTTCTATCCAACCTGCCTTCCTTTGCTCAGCCTTGGGCCTAGAGACTTTTGTCTTAAAGAGGCTGAGAATGAGCACATCCATAGATGTGTACTGGATTTGCTTCTTATTGGTATGTCAACATTTTTTTTTACAAAACTGTATTACTATCAAACCCCTAACATTCTTGTAGCATCTTTAACATAGCAAAAACCTCAAGATATACATAGTAGTACTACAATGCTTTTCTTTCCCTGTCTCTATGTGCTACAGGTGGTAGAGCAGAGTGAGTAAAAGGGCAGGCAAGAGGTCCTGAAATTTAAGGCTGGTACTAATGCATAGTGTGTAGGTTTGTTGGATTTGGACCCTAAGAAGATTGACTCCCATTTGCACCAGAGGTGTGAATATGCTAGATCTTCCTGTTTTTATAGTACTGTGATGAGGAAACAACCTGATGTAATTCTTAAGGAGAATTCGAGGAAATCTCGAAGGCGCAAGGGTTCTCTGGTTTTAGGAGTTGGGTTTGCAACCATCCACAGGTGCGTTTGCAAGAACATCTGGTCTGACTCCAGACTGAAAAGATGCAAAAGCTTATTACATGGCAAAAGTAAGGGTTTTAGCCTTAAAACTGTAAACATAGTTTTATTGCCATTCACTCATCACAAGGTATTTTTTCTTCTCAACCATGCGAAAACAAGATGGCAGCCCACGTAGACATGTGTGCATCACATGTGCCGGAGTTTTTTAAAACCAGCTATAGTTCTTGCATCAAGGGTTCCCAAATGTGTTTGTTTCAAATGGACATGATAATGATTGTTCCCCCAGAGTTTACCATGGAGAAAAGAGCTATTAAATTAGAAAGAGCTGAGTCTATCCTACCCAGCAGATACAAACACAGGTACTGAGCTTAATATCAGAGTAACAGGATTAGTTCATAAATTAAAAAAATACAAAAAACAATCATCTATTTCAATCTTTCCCCCGCCTCTTCCTCAGAAATTTATCTGAATCGATAAACAGTCTGGCAGATATGCCTAAAAATTCCACGTAACATCTTCCCCACCCCATTCCCATTTATTAAAGCAAGGAAAAACCAAACAAAAAACCCTAACAAATCAAACCAGGACTGGTCTTCTGCATGCCTGGAAGTCATTTACATGGCAAAAGTCCCATTTTAGCTCTAAGCATCCAGTTATCAGGCTGTTGAAAGTTCTTCTTTTCCATCCAAAGGTAAAAGGAACTTGGTATGTGGCATACCTGGTGCAGATTCTTCTAAAGGTTTTTGTACAAAAGAGCTCCACCTCAACCAAGGCTGATGCCTAAAACACCAATAAAATAGAATGTGTCTTCAAGAAGGATGCTGAGACCACCATCGAGACGTCCGGAGGTGCTACAAGTACTCCAATTCCAATGCGTGCCGCAAGGCCTCTAGATCAGCATGACAGGAGATCCTCCAGAAAGGCATGTTGTGCTAGAATTAGAAATATTTTTTTTCAGAAGAAATTCCCAAAATCATTTCCCAAACAGCTAGAGTCTTTTTAAAAACATCTAGAAAATGCATGGTAATTAAAAAGCAATTTTTTACAGGAAAAAAGGCAAACGACCAGTTGGAATTGCCCTGACCTGGATGGCCCAGGTTAGTACTCGGACTGGAGACCACCAAGGAAGTCTGGGGTTGCGACGCAGAGGCAGTGATTGGCAAACCACTCTGTTCATCTCTTGCCTTGAAAACCCCATAAGTGGGCTGAGGCTTGACGGCAATTTCCACCACCACCAGCTAGGATTCAAAGTGATGCAGGCAGGTGCTCTTGTCACACATGGGTTTTTAAGTGGTGGCCCCTTCTCTTGGAGGGCTGCCGGGATTTGGAGCAGCACTGGACGAGGTGCAAAGGGACGAAATGCCTCCTGTGAGCAAGAACTGCTTCCTGCTGGCCCAAAAGGCATATGGTGGTGTTGTATCCCATCTAGCACGGGCAGCCTAAGCCTATACTAATCACCTATGAGTAACAAGCCATTTCTCACAATTTGATAAAAAGTTTCAGCCTCCAAGTGGATGGTTCAACAAACCCCTTTTACATTGTGGGCTTCCACGAGGAGGTCCTCAGTTTCGGACACAATCACAATCTGTTTTGCATCTTTCCTCCCCTCCAATCCCAAACTTGAAAATGGGCACATATCTTTAAAATTCCAAGGGAATTGTGCATGTACATTCTAAATTTCATTCCCTTTGGGTCAAGGGAGACTGAATTACAGGCTGCTTTACTGACTGCTTTCCTGGCTCCCTCGGTGTTTTCACTTATTATCCCCCCCCCCATACCTTGTGAGATAACTTCGGCTGAGAAAGACTGACTCAGTGAGCTTAATGGTTGAGTGTGGATATGAATCCAGGTCTCCCTGATCCTAGTGCCGCAGAATGCAAGGCTTAAATGGTTTCAGTTGTGTTGTAAACGCATGCAGCGGTGGTACTGTGGATGGAGTGTTCAAATTTGCCTGCAGAAATATGGGCCAAAAATTCATGATGCTCTTTTGGCAAGTCACTGTCTCTTGTCCTAACCTCCCCCACTAGGATGCTGGTGAGGCTAAATGGATAGACTCCTATAGGTACCACCGTGGAGAAAGGGCAAAATGTATTAACGTGTGTGATAATTTAATAACAATCCACAGCGAACTGCTCCTTCTTAGAGGGGAAAGAAATGAAAGCCCATCCCCACCCATTCCTCATCTGCTTTTCCCACACCGCCCTGATTCCATTAATGATTTTGTTTTTCTTTCTCTGAAGAGTGGAGATGTTGGCAACTCAGCCACGCCTGCTGCTCAGCTCCCATCCATTTATCACTCCTCCGACAGGTGAAGAGAAATGACCCACTCTGGCTGAGATATCATCAGTGCTGCTGGCGAGGCAGTGAAAGGCGCCCCGGCCTCCCCGTGGGTTTATAAAGCTCAGGTGTGTAGTCACCCGTGCTAATGATCACCATCCATCACAGGGCCTGACAGCTCCAGCAAAGAATGTGTGCCTATTAATGGGAAAGAGGCGTATAGCGGGAGACACCAGCAAAGGGGGCCTCTTGGGGCACCGTTTGCAAAAGGGATTGCGCTCACCCTACGGTCAGGGAGCCTGGCGGCCTTTGATCCACTCACAGGCGCTGACCCTCATTACCTTTGAAGTTCACAGGGGCCTAGTCTAAAGCCCCCATACGATCTTCACTTCACTTTCTTTCTGTGCATTTGATGTTCCTCTTTAACTCCAGGAAGAACATTTAATTTTCTCAGGAAAGGGCTTGGCTTATATAGATCTGCAGTGGCTCAAGGGAGAGAGTTGGTATAACTCCTTCAGGGATGTGTGTGTCTATGCTTTTTGACCAAAGGTGCACCCCGCTGTCAGTTCCTGAGAGCCACTGCCACCTATTATGGGGAATGAGGTAATAGACGATGGGTATTATCTTGGAAAATGTGTACTTGTCAATATCTGTTTTATAAGATAATGCAGGGTGTGTGTGTGCCTGAGAGAGAGACAGAGAGTGACACTGACAGGGGCTGACTGAGTTGCTGGGGAAAAAATGCCAAGCGGTGGAGCTTTCTCTATAGATTCTGTAGGCTACTCTGCCCTCATTTTAAATGCTTTTTTAAAAAAACACGGCCGTTAATTTTTAATCATTGTTATATTGTTTTATGCTTTTACTTCATAAGCCGCCTAAAGAAAGTTCACTTGGGAGGCGGAACAGAAATTTTCCAAATAAATTAAGCTTGCTGCTTTTGCTAGAGGGGGGAAAAAATTAAAATTAAAACCAGGAGCGCAGTCACCAGAGAAAACGAGCAGGCAAGAAGGCAGATTCAGCACCTACTTCTGCCTGCCAATTGTCGTCCTTTTTGTGCGTGGCACACCCAACCCTGATATTAGTGCTATGAGAGCTAGATTCGAATCCAGTAGCACTGAGAAGACCAACAAGATTTTAGGGTATAAACTTCAGAGAATTAAAGCTCCCTTCGTCATCGGAGCTTTGCTCTCCAAAGCTTATATATAGCCTGGACATTTTATTGGTCTTTAAGGTGCTTCTGGACTCAAATCTAGACTTTCTACTGCAAACCAGCACAGCTACCCACCTGAAACTACCTGGTGTTATGAGAGAAACTCGGGATTGGGAAGCCCACTTCTCCCTCCCATTCTGCTTAATCCCACCTTGAGGTTCTATAAATCTGGACGTGACCATTTCAGTTGCAGGTGTACCATGGTGTTGAGTGTTTCACGTTGGTCTGCAGTAGAGCTAGGGCTGCCAGTCCCCAGTTGGGGGTGGGGGATCCCCTGGTTTTGTGGTGTGGGCTCTTGCCCACCGCTAGCCAGCTGGCCAGTGGGGAAAAATCCTCCCCAACAGCAACATGGAGCAATGTGCCTACATCACCTGGAAATGACATAGGCACATCGGTGACCTTGGGGGGGGGGGACTCTCTGGTTCTGGGGCAAAACTCTATGGTTTGAGCGTGATTTTACTGTAGAGTTTTGCCCAAAAACCAGAGCAGCACCCCTGATGTGCCTATGTCACTTCCAGGTGACGTAGGCACAGCGTGCGACATCATTTCCAGTGATGTCAGCATGTCGGGGGCGATGCTCCTGGCTGCCAGAACGTTCCCCCCCCCCGGCATCTTGAAGGGACCTGGCAACCAATGTTCCCTCTAAGCTGAGGAGTCTTGTGAGCAAAAATTCTACTTTGTGAGCTACTGGCATTAAAGTTTTGAGCGAGCGATTTGGCTACTGCATAAATCAGTTTGCTCTGGCGCCATCCTTCCTGAGCAAAGACAAAAATGTGTGAGCCGGAGGCTAAAAAACTGTGAGCTAGCTCACACTAACTCAGCTTACAGGGAACCCTGCTGGCAACCCTAAGATCTAACTGTTCTGAGTCCAACAGCACCTTAGAGACCAACAAGAGTTTCAGGCTATAAGCTTTTGAGAGTCAAAGCTCCCTTCATCACACACCGTCTGAATGTTTCCCCATGTAAAAAAAAAAAGCTTGCCTATATGTATTACATTAGCACATGATATGCCTCTCTGTGTGTGTGTTTGTGTAGAGGAGTGTCATTTAGTCTTCCTGACGTGTTACTTCAAATTCTGCCCCTTCCCATTGCATGTTTTTGGTGTGGGGGCTGCTGCACAATGGCTCCTTCCTGTACTACACAGGTAACACGTGGAAGGCCCAGGTAAACCCATGCAGCAGGTCCTCCCTGTGCCAGCATCACTGCAGTTTCCAGGAGGGACAAAGCTGGCACGGGCAAGAGCTGCAAGTGTAGGATCTACTTGCATGGTGTAGGCCTTCTCGCACGACCTTGGTTGCATGGGAAAGCAGCTGTTTTAAGAGACTCCCAACACCACCACATCATCGGCAGATCAGCTGAGACACGTCCACGGGTGGGACTGTAAAATGTCTGCACACCAGACTCTGTTCTGAAAAAACCAGAACTGCGAATCGCAACCCTTTTGGCCTAGCTCAGACAGCACTCCTGCAATCCACCTTTCAGTTCACATTCACAGATGTGAGAACTGGCCCTCGGTGCTTTAAGATCTTTACGGTTTTATTGTTCCGAGTGCCAGAAGTCCCTGTTCCTGTTTTCTTTCAGCTGCAACAAATCATTCATTATAAAAAGAGGTGGCGGTGGTGGTGGGGGGGAGAGGAAGAGAGCAGAGAGCAGTCACTTGTTACTAGCCAACTGTGCAAAGCAGCCACCTCCCGGAACTGTGTTCAGTCACTCCTTTCCCACTGGCCTTTGGGAAGCAAAAACCACACAGTAGAAATGAGAAACGGCAGATCTCGGGTCACACTTACTGATCCGATCTCACTCCTTATTTATGTATCTAGCCACAGTGTTGTTAATCAAGAACAGTTTTCGCAGCGAACAAGGAACTGCTGGAAAAGGTGCCAGGGGATGGAGGGAGGATTTACAGGAGGAAATCGCTCACAATGCTTTATGGATTTCCAAACAGGAAAAATGGCCTAATCGTACAAAAAGGCAGAAGTAGGAAGGAATTTCTGTTTTGTGCTGCAGGTCAAGAGGGATGGGGAGGACGATAAAACGACTGGCATTTTACCTTTTTTGCCCCCTGTTCCTCTTCAGCGCCATCTCCTATTACAATGTACACGGCTTTCCGTCCAAACCTCTGCATTATCCTTTCAAAACAGCTC